ATCGCGTTTATTTACTTTTTTTCGAACTTTACTATTCTTTACTATCTTTTCCTGAATCTGTCTATTATTCTCTTCCGGTTTTGAAATCTCGCCTTTCTTCTGTCGTAAGCATGCTCAAATCTTGTCTTAAAAATAATAATGTGTAGCTAGTGTGCCGGTCCGTTTAAGCAAGACCACCACCCCCAAAGCCGACGAGCGAGAGCCGGACCCATAGCATGCACCCGCACGGACGGATCGTAGGACTCACCGCACCCAAGTTACTCGTTACACGCTACAGATATTATTCATTATTATTAATAAGAAAAGTGGCGCCCAGACGTGTGTGGCCTTTGTGAGTACAGTATTCACTCATTAAGACTCACCGATAGATAAATTCAAATTCTTTTCTTTATTTCTTACAAATATTTCAACATTTAACTTTCATTTCTAATCACAACTTCCTTCTTTGATTTATAATTGACTGGATAACAGAGGTAAAAGCACCAGTCTTCTTTCTGGCCTCAATTAGAAATCAGGGATAGTAGTTTCCTTCATCAGGCTGTGATGTTGTTTAAAACTTAGTCCGATGAAAATACAGAACGTATACAACTTCGGTTGATCTTCTGGCTCGGACTGGTTTACCACTTCACTGTCTCAACCACTCTTCGGTAAATAAAAGTTTTCGTTAACACAGGCGTTACGGAATATAGAGGCATAGAATTCCAGTGCCCTATCCACGAATGATTAACGGGAAAGTTTATTTACATTTCGCCTTAGAGAGTTTAGATTTTTGGCAATATGAAGCAGGAATATTAGAGTATCCATTTTCGAAGAATTAAAATATCTAGTCCGCTTCATACTGTTAGAAACCTAATCACCTCCCTTTTAATCTACATCTATAAACTTTTCATCCTTCTCGAGAACGTTAAAGAAGTAAATATTATTCTTCCTACGATACGCAGACATCAAGTGCAGAGTTTAATTGAAGTTATTAAAGAATAAATAATCGCACGGTAGATTATTACTTGTTGAAGTAATTTTATAAAGACATTTTCTAAAAGTTCTATTTTTTTCGTATTGCTACCTTGTTTTCTAACTTTGGAAATTATCGTAAACATGGGGTTAGACCGATCACCGAGCAAAGGCTCACAGGAAGCCACCAAGCCAGTCTGTCCGATATGCAAAGCTGAAATTAAAACAACTTCTGAACATTTTGAAACCACGTGCCATCACGAGTTTCATAAGAAGTGCATTGATGCGCATTTCAAGAAAAGTGACTTGTGCCCAGTATGCAAAGTTTCCTGCAGGCCAGTGGTCGAAAAGGGGTTACAAACTCGGTCTCAGTCTAAAGGTCGCCAACAAGAAGTAGCCGATAATACCCCAGGTCCATCTGGAAGCGCTCAGAGCGGCAACAATAGTGTTACTGATCAAGCAACAGCAATAAACACAGTCACTATGGTCTCCATGGAGCGAAGACTATTCTCGCTTCTTTCCGAGAAGATTACCGATTTAATCCAAAATACAGTAGAAGAAAGTGTACGGAGATTGATCACTACTCCGCCAAATTCCGCTGTTGGCGGCGAAGAGAGACCCGCAACTCCTCCACCGGTAGACGGGGTTGGTAGCGAGCCAGTTTCTGGTGTTGAACAAATTCAAAACAGGCATCGGCTCATGCCCAACATAGGTTCCCCAGGCTCTCACCGAAGTAACATGTCCGATCTCCTAACTAGACCCGACAAGGTCGTCCATATTTTAAACGGATGGAAAATTAAATATTCGGGGTCAGGTGTTTCAATAGACAACTTCATTTATAGAGTTGAGGCGCTAACGCATCAAACGTTAGATGGAAATTTCTCGGTACTTTGCCGGAACGCTAGCGTTCTCTTTGAGGGCAAAGCAAACGAATTTTATTGGCGTTACCATAAGTCGGTAACCGAAGTCCGCTGGGATTTGCTATGTTCTGCTTTGCGCATGCAATTTCGCCAGAAAAGGGATGACATTGACATCGAAGAGTTAATCCGAAACAGAAAGCAGAAGCCTAGCGAAACCTTTGATAGCTTTTACGATAGCGTAAATATTTTAGTCGATCAACTAGAACTACCCTGGAGCTCGCGAAAACTTGTCCGAGTTCTCAAAAATAACCTAAGGCCTGAGATACGACATGAACTACTGAATGTCGACATTTCAACAGTCTCAGAGTTAAGAGAAACCTGTCGTCGACGTGAAGCTTTTCTCGACGACGTTAAACGCGCGCACGGGTATAGTAAAGGTAACCCATTTAGACGCGATATCTCAGAACTGATTCCAGAATCTGATACTCATAAAGATTCTGAATCGGAAAACGAGCTAGAAGTAGACGCGTTTTCCTTAAAATGCTGGAATTGCCGAAAAGATGGCCACATTTACCAGGATTGTTTAGCCGATAAACGACTTTTTTGTTACGGCTGTGGAGCAGATAACACCTACAAGTCAAATTGCGTGAAGTGTGCAAAAAACTCCAAGTCCGGCGCTTCGAAGTTGCCGTACAAACCGAAAACTTCGAATACCTATCGCAATCAGTCAACAATGACCGATTAGACGTGGATGCACCATTCATTGCACCACAAATTATCCCTGACGTTCCAAAAAGCAATGTCAGTTCTTTGCTGCATTGTAAAGTTAAAACCCTACCTGATATATCAAATCCAGAATTTTGTTCCAACCCTCCCTTGGAAAGATTCAAATCTCGGAGTTCTAAAAGAATCAAATCGTTTTGGCAAAACATTAGAACCTGTCGGCTGGGATTGAAATATATCTGTTCAGTTCCTATCGGAACACGAGATCCTAGACCGTTTTTGCCGATTCGTTTATTAGATCGCACTGTGTATGGTTTACTTGACTCCGGAGCATCCATAAGTTGTTTTGGAGGTGATTTAGCTAGCGAACTCATAAAGAAGGATGATGCTTACAAGTCGTTAAACGTTAGTGCTACCACGGCAGATGGAAGCCCACAACGGATAGTAGGCAAGATGAAGGTTGACATAGAATATGGAAACATTCAAAAGTCTCTAAACATTTATATTGTGCCATCACTAAAACAAGATCTATACTTGGGTATAGACTTTTGGAGGCTGTATGATCTTCTTCCCAGAAATCTGAATATATCCGAGCTAGAATCTAAAGAATCTAGCAAAGTCAGCAGCGAGGTCGAGGTAGATCAACACGACTTGTCTGAGGCAGAAAAGTTACAATTAGCCAATGTTATCAATTGTTTTCCTTCATTTACTCAGGAAGGCCTTGGCAAGACTAGTTTGATCACACATTCAATTGACGTGGGTAGTGCCAAGCCAATTAAACAGCGCCATTTCCCTGTCTCACCTGCTGTTGAGAAGAGTATGTACGCTGAAATAGACAGAATGTTGCAATTAGGGGTTATTGAAGAGTCGGAAAGCGCCTGGTCCTCTCCCATAGTCATGGTCACAAAACCTGGCAAAGTCAGGATTTGCTTAGATTGTCGGAAAGTCAATAGTTTTACCGAAAAGGACGCCTATCCGCTTCCTCAAATCAGCGGTATCTTAAGTCGGTTGCCGAAAGCCGAGTATATTACTAGCCTTGATTTGAAAGATGCCTATTGGCAAGTGCCGTTGGAAGTTCAATCCCGAGACAAGACTGCATTTACAGTCCCTGGTAGGCCACTCTACCAATTTAAAGTAATGCCTTTTGGGCTTTGCAATGCCACCAGCACGATGTCTCGCTTGATGGACAAAGTCGTCCCAGCGCATCTTAGGAACGAGGTATTCATATATTTAGATGACCTCCTGGTAGTATCGTCAAACTTTGAGAACCATCTTAACGTACTTAGGGAGATTGCCGTTCACATCAAGCGTGCAGGATTGACAATCAATATTGGCAAAAGTCATTTCTGCATGCGACGTGTACGTTATCTGGGGCATATCATTGGCGATGGCGGAATTCGAACAGATCCTGAAAAGGTTAAAGCAATCACCGAGTTTCCTGTCCCGAAAACCCTGCGAGGTTTAAGGAGTTTTATGGGTTTATGTGGATGGTACCGCAAATTCGTTCCGAATTTTGCCTCTCTCGCTTCTCCTTTGACCGATTTAATGACAACCAAACGAAGGTTCAGTCTTACTCCAGATGCTCTGAAAGCCTTTGAACTCTTGAAGAGACGTCTCAGCGAGGCTCCGGTGTTATGTAGCCCGGACTTTTCTAAGCCATTTGCCATCCATTGCGATGCTAGCAAGTCTGGTGTCGGTGCTGTGTTGGTACAGGTTTCCTCCGAAGGAGACGAACGCCCTATAGCCTTTATCTCGAAAAAGCTGAATCGAGCTCAAAGAAACTATACCGTAACCGAGCAGGAGTGTTTGGCGGCAATAGTAGCCTTGAAGAATTTTAGAGCATACGTGGAAGGACATGATTTCACGATCATTACCGACCACGCCTCGCTTAAATGGCTTATGTCCAACCATGATCTCAGTTCTCGTTTAGCTCGATGGGCGTTAGCTTTGCAAAGATATCGATTTAAAATTGAGCATCGCAAAGGAACGATGAACGTGGTTCCCGATTCCTTGTCCCGCGTTAACGAGGACGAAGTTGCGGCAGTTGATTTGCAGGAAGGTTTGCTAGTTGATTTAACTTCTCACCACTTTAAATCTCCTGCTTACAAGGATCTGATAGCCAAAGTTGAAGAGAAGAAAGCTAATTTTCCTGATCTTAAAACAGAGGACGGGTACTTGTATAGAAAGGCAGAACATTTGACAGGAGAACAAGTACACGATGAATATGCATGGAAACTTTGGATACCATCAGAGCTGGTCCCCGAAGTTATTTTTCAGGCTCACAACAGTCCGTTGGCTTCCCATGGCGGGATACACAAGACTGTTGAGCGCGTTAGGAGGTATTATTTTTGGCCTCGCCTCGTGCCTGACGTAAAAGCATACATTAATGCCTGTGAGACATGTAAATCGACTAAACCACCAAATCATGTTCTCAGACTACCGTTAGGAAAAGCGCCAGAAACAGTACGGCTTTTTCAGCGTATTTTCATCGACTTTCTCGGACCTTACCCACGTTCAAGAAGTGGAAATATCGGGATTTTCATTGTTCTCGATCATTTTTCGAAGTTTGTATTCCTCAAACCGGTAAAGAAGATAAACGCAAGCGTTGTAATAAAGTATCTTGAGGGGGAGCTATTCATGACATTCGGAGTCCCCGAAACCATTGTGTCAGACAACGGATCCCAGTTTCGCTCCGAAGCGTTTCAGAAGCTGATGAAGCAGTACGAAATCTCACACATTCTAACAGCTGTTCATTCACCGCAAGCCAACGCTTCTGAACGCGTGAATCGTTCAGTCATTTCAGGGATTAGAGCATACTTAAGACCAGATCAGAAGGACTGGGACGAGTACCTTAACAAGATATGTTGTGCTTTAAGATCTTCAATCCATTCAAGTATAGGGACCACACCATACTATATGGCGTTTGGCCAACATATGGTTACTGCTGGTTCGACTTACGCATTGTTGAGGAGGTTGAATATGCTAGATGACCGATCTCTCATGTTTAATCGACAAGATTCGTTCGAAATAATTCGTGAGGAAGCTGGAAAGCAAATGCAAAAAGCTCACGACATGAACGAAAAAAGGTATAACTTACGCTCAAGAGAGGTATCGTTTGTACAGGGTCAAGAGGTATTTCGCCGCAATTTCAAGCAGAGTTGCTTCCAAACGGGCTACAACGCCAAGTTTGGACCGTCATTTGTAAAAGCCCGTATTAGGAGGAAAATAGGTAACTCTTACTATGAGCTTGAAGACTTACAAGGTCGATTACTAGGCAATTATCACGCCAAGGATATTCGACAATAAAGTCACTCCAGGCGTTATCAGTCTAGGGTATCTAGAACTAAATACCCTAGTCTGATTGTAGCGGGGGGGTTTTGTAGCGGCGCCTGAAGCGACTTGGTTTAGAATTTTCGCCTAAAAGCTGACTGCAAAATAGTTAAACCGGGGTTTATCTTAGGTAGTTACCAACCATTCCAGGTTTCGAAACAGCTGTTTCAGAGATGCAGTGGAAAGCTCGATTCTGGCACCTGTCATAAGCATCTGCCACCAACTTCCGCCCATACCCTAACCGCACCTATCCAAAATCCGGTAGCGTTCTTCTCTTTTCGACCACCGTGATAGCCAGACGTACAATCCGTCCGCGTTTTCAATTCGCTTTTTGAAATTTTTGAAATCATAGTGAACATAACGCGAAACGGGCTAAAATATCACTCCCAAGCAGCAGAGAAGACATAATTTGTGTTTTGCGGGTTACAGAAGAATTCTGATGTAAGTGAAAACTCACAAAAGGCAGAAATTTTCCAATTTAACCCCAAATTATTCTCTAGATATCTTTCCTCCGGGTCACGATTGGCGTAAAAGCCTCGTCTAAGATCCATTTTACTGCCGCCGCAGAGAAGTGCCCTCTGGGGCTTATAAATTGGAATACCTGGCTGGAAACGACATTTGGAAAATTCCGAATCACCCTTACCGTACGGCGGGGGCATGATCAGCAGGTAGATAAAAATTATCTCGGTGGGAAAACCTTGAACCCGTGCTTATTAGGCTTTAATTTGTTCTAGATTGTGCCCCACATTAATATTGGCGTTTAAATAAGCAAGATCCAAGGCGTTTAAAAGGAGATTCGACCCACATAACCTACAGCGAAGGCATCACGTGGCATGGCAGTCTAAACCTTATTTTTTTTAAGTGATCGCTTATCTAACCTAAAGCCCAACAACCATGTTTTTCCGGGAAATAAAGTAGATGTCAGCCAGCTAATTCCCGAAAAGAATCTTACCTACACAAACCAATAAGTGATAATCGCGCGCCTAATGCTTTAAATTTCCAAATTCACCGGTTGGAATCTGAATTCCACGATCCACAGTCCACTGGGTTCCATTACCTAATTCCAATAAGCCGAAACGGTGAAGAAAATTCGGTATACCTTCGATTTTGCCACGGAGACCTCGCGCTTGGAAAGCTATGCCTTCCCATAACTAAACCTGGAAGGCGACGTTCGTTTTTTTTTTAGAATAAAGTAGAGTAATATATAAATCTAATTAAGAATATGTAAAGAAATTTTGTAAAGCGGTTCAAGATTCCAGTTAGGTGACGTTGTCGGTTTCGGGCCTCAATCTAAATAACCTCAAAAGGGTCGCGAGTGTTAAGAGATTTAATTGAATATTATTATTTAACCCCATGGCGACCAAGTTTGCCTGTTACAGCCACCTGCCCGGGAGATCGATCTTTCGCCGCTGGAATGCCTACAAAAATCAGTGAGTTTTAATCTTACATTTATCTTTGCCAAATATATATATTCAAAATATCTCACACTTGAACAAATACCCCTTGATTAATAATAAAAATAAATAAACCCTATGAAAAATAAAGTGAATTAAACAAGAGCCCATTGCCGATCGCGACATCTTATGAATAACAAGTTAATTAAATAGATTTTGGCTGGAATGAAAAGAAACATGCTGAAATTATAACGAAGATTTAATTGAATATTTGAACATCCCTAATTATCGAATTTATAATTTAAAATTATCTTTATATTTCTAATCCATTATTTTTTTTATTATATACATTTTTATTTACTATACCCTTGCGTCATTTACAATTAAATCTTGAATTACCTCTATTTAAAAATTGTATAAGAGCAGCCATATTATATTCCGATTATTTTTGGAAAACCTTGTAATGAATACAAACTTTATAAATGAAAATGTGTGTGGAATTTAGATCTTGATTAAATGAACACGAATTTAAACATGAACCTTGAGTAGTTCAATATTTTAACTCTGCCGATGATTCTGCGGTCGTAGGGGAAAAGGGGTCACCAGAGCCATGCTCGAGGATGGTGATCATAGGTTGGGTGGGCATCCCGCGACCACTACAACATCTGTGGCATCGCGTTTATTTACTTTTTTTCGAACTTTACTATTCTTTACTATCTTTTCCTGAATCTGTCTATTATTCTCTTCCGGTTTTGAAATCTCGCCTTTCTTCTGTCGTAAGCATGCTCAAATCTTGTCTTAAAAATAATAATGTGTAGCTAGTGTGCCGGTCCGTTTAAGCAAGACCACCACCCCCAAAGCCGACGAGCGAGAGCCGGACCCATAGCATGCACCCGCACGGACGGATCGTAGGACTCACCGCACCCAAGTTACTCGTTACACGCTACATACTTTCGGTTAGCTTGGCTCTCTCTCTGTTAAGACAGCATGAAATGTTTATAAAGTCGATGCGTGTGCGGGGATCCTTTGTGCGGAGGAGCCGCAGTAATGAAATAAAATACACACTTTTGTATATGTAAGTATATCTGTATATCTGTAAGCTTTGCCGCATCTTTGTGGTATTTACAGAGAGTGTCATACTTCGTCCTTCTGCTTTTTCGTCCTTCGTCCTTTGCATTTTACATTCTGCATTTTGCATTCGCGTGCCCGGCTCAGTGTCTCATTTTGCACAATGAAATGTAAATATTAAAAGGAAAACAAACATTCGCCTGAAAGGGAAAGCGTCTGTTGTGTTTGCCTTTCCCATTTTCCTCTGTCCTCTTTTCCATTCCAGAATTCTAAAAAAAGGCAGCAGCAGCAGCGCACAGAAAAAATGCCAACGTCATGGAACATAATTCTCTCGTTCTGCTGCAATTAGAGTGCTAACAACGACGACGATGATGATGGGTCCAACTTTCGGTTTCAGTTGCCAACAGTTGCCAGTACCGCTCGCAGCAACAACAACTCCGGCAGAAGGAGCAGAAGGAACAGCTGGAGCGGACCGGGGGTCCAAGGACACGCCCCGCTCTTCTGCATCGCAGCGGGATTCTCATCTGGGGGGAGACAAATAGACAAACAGTGGCATAATGAACATGTGTATTCAAATTTCGACGAGGGCACAGCCCCATTAACTATGCCAGGGCAAATAACTTAATTTAATTGTGACCTACACAGAGAGTAAAAAGGTTACTCAAATATTAAATAGGTAGTTACATTCAGGTTAGAATTACGAAAAGTTTTTTGGGAAGAGTCAATAGGTACTAGAAATTTAATAAGTAAATAAATATATTATTAGTATAGTATATATATTAAATTAAAGGGAAATCAATACAATTATATTTTTTAATATTTTTTTAAACTTCGTTTCATAATCTGATACTCAAACTAATTTTTATATTTACATTTTAAATGGTAAGAATAACTTAGAAGTTAGAATAAATTATAAATCACTGATTTTACCACCGATTTTTCCCTATGTAGCTCTGCTTCTGACTTTGAAGTGGGAAAATGAGTAAATGGGAAATGGTAAATGGCAAATGGAGCAGGGGGCACGGCGGTTGTTTGTCCCGACTAGATAAATGACATATGTGTGTCTGCGTATACGCAATATTTCTGCGGCCTTTCTCGCCCGAGCAAATGTTATTCCAGGCGCATCATTTGTCAATGCTTTGTTTTGACTCGTCACAAAGGATACGTACGGCCACGCCCCCACCAGCCTCGCACTGATTTTTAAGGACCCAGCTATGAGTAATGGGTGTGGGGATGCTCTGCGAGGGAAGGGTATCTGGGGGTCTATAAATAAGCCGCGAAATTCGATTTCCATTTTAGCAAAATCATTTTTTAACGGTCTCAAAAGGAGGGGGATTTCAAATAAATAATTCAAAGCTTTAACTGAAGATATATTTCTATTTAATTGGAATTATTATTATAAAATTTTCAGCTATAATCATAAATTTACAGGGAATATTTAATGGATTTAACGGATAATAATTTGATGTTTTGATTTATCCCTTATATCACGGACTCCCTGAAACTCCCCATAGTGCATCTCCCAGGTCGCCTTTACCCCGCCTAGACCCTTATCATTTTTCTTAAAATTTTATTGCCTTTGATTTATTATCTGTATTTATGCAAGCCGTCACAGTCCCAGTCGCAGTGGCAGTCACAGTAGCTCCTCTTCCACGGGTTGTCTGCTATCTGGGCACTGCCCTCCCTTTGCCTCCTTAACTCCACAAGCCAACCCATAGCGAGTCGCGGCCTTTTCTGCCACATGTGGGGCATGATTAAGTGCCTTTTTGCAACTTACTTCTGACATTTAATCATATTTATTACGGCTTTGCAGCGGAGCTTGAAGTGAAGGAGGTTGGTGGGTGGTGAACGGACTGCTCTTTAAAATGCAAATTCCTGTCCGTACAACAATTTCATTTGAATAAACAACTTAACAACCTAAGTGCTGGACATTTCGCTTAACATTTGATACTGCATAAAAACTAAGACTACGAGCGAAATGGCTGTGCCTTCAATTTGCTGCGAATGTCCTGCCATAAAAGGTCATAAAAAACAGTGGAAATTGCCGGACAAAAGACGCGTCAAGTTTATGCCCCTCATTTCGCAGCTTAAAATGTCTTAATTCCCGTCTAATTTATGTGTAAAATATGCAAAGCCAAGTCAGTGAGTTGCGCTCCGCCAGCCAGCAGCATTACTCATACGCCAAGGAGGCCAGCCCGTAAAAAGGACTCCCAAACAAAACAGGATGAATGGAGGGAGTGAGTGGGGCAAAAACTTTTAGTTTTTAGGCCGTGTCTGTGAATGAATGTCGCTGGATACAGTGCGGCCCATAAAATTATTCACTTTTCTTGCCCCAGCGAAAGGGGATGTCCTAAATGATAGTTGGCTTTTGGGAGTTAACTACTCCTTGCCTTTGGCTCTGGCTTGGGCTCTGGGACACCAACTTCTGGCTGACAGTGTAACAGATAGGCTTATGCCAACCTGGCCAGCACCTGAGTCAGAAGCTAAATACACTCAAAGAAAATGTTAAGTCAAAAATTTGTAACACATTGTAATAAAAACCCTACAAAACGACGAAGTAAATGCATTATTTGCTCATAACTTTTTAATGAATGGTCCGATTTTAAAATTTTCTTTAACATTTGGATAGGGTTTAATAAACACTACAAATGACATTCACAAATTACTCTACGAGTATCAGGTATTCGAAGGATTTCAGTTTAATTAATTCGCTTTAGGAACTAAACTTTAAGAATCACTGCACCTACCTACTAATATTTAATTTTCAGTTATAATAACCTTTTACATTTTTTTCCTGAAAGTCTCTAGTCTTTATAACCTTTATAAAATTTAAAAAGATTTTTCTTTTTCTTAGTGCAGGCCACATTCGCTCACTCACTCCCTGGACTCACCATTAATCACATGGACCAGGACACTGGCGCTGCTGGCCGTCGTTGGCTGACACGTGTAGTTGCCGGTGTCCGTGGTCTGGGCATTCGAGATGCGGAGTCTGCGGAGGATTAAGGAGCACACTGAGAACAACTCAATTAGGTGGTGGGTGACTTGAATACCCACCTGGACTTGAGGGTATCGCCCAGCTGCGATTCCATGGCGATGCGGGTGGCGAACTCCTTCTGCAGGTCCACCTCGTTCATAATGTCATTCGGGGAGGCGGAGTCTTCGGAAGTCCTTTGGGGCTGCTGATCCTTACTGACCAGCATCACCGGAGGACCATCGTCGGCGTCGAAGGGAGTGATCATGTGCTCGCCGCGATACCAGTAAATCGGTCCGATGTCCTTGACCGACGGCTGCTGCACCAGACAGTTGAGGATAATGGCACTGCCCGCCTTGAAGTGCAGATCGGGCGGTCCACTGATGACCGCCTTGGCGTCCGGGGAGATTTCTGCAAGCGAAAACAAGCCACAAATGAATTGAAAACATGCAACCGAAATCAATTTGGGGCAATCGCTCGTAAAACGAATTCGCAACTGAATGCACATAAAAACTTTTAATCATAAAACTTTATGGAATAACTTTTCAATTGCACTAAATTTAAGTAAGCCCTGGAAAATGCCTGGCTGTAAGGGGAGTGTTGGTAGGTAGTTGGTGAGAAAATCACACCAGATACGTAAATAAACTTATATGGTGTGGCGCACACACCCATGTGGAAAGTCACACACGCTGATGCTGCTACTGCTACTGCTGGGAAACTGGGTTAATAATAATATTTATTATGCATTGGACTGTGCAAATAATAATAATTAAAAAATATACCCAAAAACAGGAGACACGCGTGGCCAAAATGAAATAAAAACCCTGGCGCGGCACTGTGGCCTAGTCTTACATTGAAATTGTTAATGTTACACGATAAATTTAAGGAAATTGTAAAAATATTCTGAATGATTTTCTAAATTTTGTTACAATGTAATATGCATAGCATAAGTGCCTCAGATGGGTATTGTACTTTGTACATATGTTTTTAATTGTGTTTAATTCACTTACATAAAAATTCATTTTTAAAGCATAACCATTAAAAATGTTTAATTATTTTAATATACGTTTTATTATTTTTATTTTTTATTTTATAATATTTTTTTAAATAAAAATAAAAAACTCTTTAAATTCCGTGCTCTTTTGCCCCACTGTGGCCACAGGCGTGGTGTGGAGCAGCTCATAAAAGTGCATATGATGATGATTACATGGGTCGCAGGATGCTCAGGGGTTTCCCGAGAGGGGCGTGAAAAGGGGAGGGGGTTTTCAGGGGTTAAAGCGTCTGCTAGAGATCTCGCTTCCACGATTCCACACACGTTGCTCATCCCTTTTCTCCACTGGCTTTTTTCCGTCTGTTTGTTTGCGTCTGTGGCATATGTGCAAAGTGTGAGTTAAAAAATCCCATTGCGCCATTAAGTGCGTATGTATTTGTATCTGCTTCTGGCCAAAACCCCCCATTCAGCCACGCCCCCTTTTTCGAGAGTGTTTGTGCAGTGTCACTGCGTTAAAGGCAATTAACACCCGGCAGCGGGGGGAGGGAAAGGGAAAATCGAGAAAGAGACGGAGACAGAGACAGGGACAGGCAGCTGCAGCAACAATTTTCCCCCAACCCACTGTTTTTCATTTCATTTCGTTTCAGATTTTCATTTTTCCTTCATTTTTCAGCAGCTGTCGCTAAAGTTCTGCGTGCATTTTGTGTGGCGGCGCATGAAGTTTTTTAATTTAAATATTTCATGAAAATAAAATGCAATGCGACCTGCCACCAGCAACAAAAATACAAGTAGGGGCTGCGCGAAACGTGGGCTTTCTCTAAGGTCAAATGGTTGTAATTACCACTTTGGAGGGTATGGAAATAGAAATCAAGGCAATAGCCATATTAAATTCTTGAAAAAAGAACGTGATGAGATTTGAAAGAGCGCAGAAAATTATGCTATGAAAATGCTGAGGAATTAAATTAAATGAGGTGGTTAAATGTGGAAATATTTACACAAATTTATTAAATGCAGTGGAAATAAATGTTTCAACATTTCTTTTTAAGTTATTAATTAAATAATAATTATTTAAAAGATTAAGAAGACATCTGCGAAAAGTATAATGGCAATAATTAAAAATGGCAGTGTAAATAATGCAACAGAATGTGCATAAAAATATTGCCTTTGAAAAATATTTCTTTAATGCCTTGTTGAAAAATATTTTTACGCAATGCGGAATTTCACTCCCCGTTTCGAAAAGATTAAACAATCAATTATGCTGCTAATTGCAGTTGAAATATACGGTATATATTTTTCTTAAATTATGCGTGCATAAATACCAACCTTTTAAATTGTCATCTTAGGGCATACTTTATGCATATTTATTTTGGATATTTTACGGGACTCTTGGTGGACGTACCGCCCCAGGCAGAATTTATATCAGGCATAAATCTCTTTTTTCGCAACAAAAAACAAATGAGAAACACTGTGAAACGTTGAGGGAAAAATAAAATCGTTTGGGTGGGACGCATAAATTTACATAATGACATTAATTAAATGCAATGCACCGCAACAACGAGGCAAGCAGCTACAGAAACAGGAGCGGAAAATAAAAAAGAGCGAAAAAGGAAAGCGAGGAGCAAAGAGTTAAGCGCCTTGCGAAAGTCACTCATACGACACGTATGCCGATAATGTTATTAAGGACGCAGCCAGTTTGCCAGGCTGTCACCACTGTCCAATGGCCAGTGGCCACTCTGCTCCACTCGACTGCTGTCATGCTCCTTTGGAAATTGTTTCATTAACGTAAATTAAAATGCATACGGCCATGAAGAAAATGTAATCGGAAATTCGTTTGTAAGCGTCAGAGCAGGAAATCAGGAAAGGCTGGGAAATTCTGGGAAATTCAGGGAAAGGGTGACAAAGAAAAATAAACCAGTGACAGGACGAAAATGCATCGCGCCCAAGTGCATAATCGGAAACTTAAAAAGGCATTGCCGACTGATTTGCATAAGTGGCTGACAGTAGATGCCGACAGGACCTGTCACCAGCTCGGCCCCGAGATGTCCTTTATTACTCCTTTACTTCTTTAAGCCCGCGCTCGACACTCTTTTATCCACCGCACTGAACAGCACTTGTCTCCTTATCGAGCCAGTGATTTAAAGACCAAACAATTGCCATCTTAATGGCACTGACTTAAGCTCGCCATCGCCAGTTCCTTGGCATCCCATTAAAATCAATATGCAAATTGATTGTATTTTAAACGGACTGAGATTACGAATTAACGCCGATACAATGAGGCAATCAGCGGATATCGAAGGAATTTCATTATGTGTAGGTAATTGTGTTTTAAAAAAATAAAAGAAGGGAAGTATGAATTTTCTTTCTATTTATCATAAGAACAAGGTACAATAGGGTTTTGTTGAAAAGAAAAGTATGGGTATAATAATCTATTTGTTTACGTTCTCAAATAAGAACATTCTTATAGTCCTACACCCCAGTTTTTTGAATATAAATAATATTATTAGGCACCCATTTTGCCATTCCGTAATCAGACCATCATCAATTAATCATTACCGGTGGATTTCGGAGTCGCTAATGCAGACAATAGACATTGTTTTCGATGGGACACACAGGAAACCGGACGGGTGACACACTGCCAGCTAATTATATGCGGACACACGCATTATGCATGGCTCATTAAAGCGCTGAATACATTTCCAATCGGTGCCCGTAATCCCGCCGGGTTGACATGCTAATTAACTCAGCAGCTCCGGCGACATGTAAGCTTCCAATTTTGCATCCTGGGGGCCAAAAACCAGAATCAGGAGCTGGTAGCCCCGGGAGCCTCGACGACCTCGCTTTTTATTTGTTTATTTATTTATGGGCCGAAATGCGAAATTAAAAATGTATGCCTAGAGGAGGTCGAACTGAAACAAAACGGAAACTGGTCCAAGGGACCGAGCGCTTGGTGCTTGATTCCCCTTCAGATCAAATTAACATTTTTAATAAACCCAGCGGCGACAAGGTAAACAGTCAGTCCAAAGGAAAATAAATGCAATAATTATGGCAATGAAATTAAATGTATTTTTTATTATTAGACAGAAAGAAATGCGATCCACCCCTCAAACCGAGCAGAACTCCAAACCCCAAGAATATACTTGCTTTCTTAAAAATCTTAAAGGCCATTCTTCCATCTAATCTAATCTAGACATAGCCAAAACATAAATAAATTCATGATAGTTATTAAGATCGCACTAGCTGCTAAACAAATAAGCAAATAAATAAATAAAGAGGTAAATAAATAAATTACGAAATTATATTAAAATGAATAAATAATAAATTAAAGAATAAATAAATAAAGAAATAAAAAAGCAAATTAATATATAAATAAATAAACAAAGAAATAAATAAATAAATAAATGAATAAATTAATAAACTAATAAATAGATAGATAAAATAAGAATATGAATGTGCATAAAATGTGAAATATATTTGAGATCCCAGTCCCACACTCACCGATGATGTTCAGCTGGAAGGCCATGGACATTTTGGGCTCCGTGTTCACCTGACACTCGTAGATGCCGCTGTCCTTTGCCAGCGGCGACTTCACATGGAGGGTCCACTCCCTGGCATCCTTCGATTCAGTCACCTGCCAATTCGAAAGGACACAATTTCTGTTTCAGTTACGGGTCTCACTTCACAGTTTACAGATTTCATATTTCAGTTTTCGTTATATTCGTCTGGCAGTTTTTCAATTCAATTCATTCTGTCAGTCTCGGCGGAATAATTATTCGCTTTTAAGGCAACAATTTGCAAGGCTGCAAATTCGTATTTCCATTCAATCGTGCTTTTATTTTTTTATGGAAATTAAGCAATTATACAATTGAATGTTTGTTTGTTTGTTTGCTTGTTGGTTGGTTTGCAACACAGCATCAGCACAGTGGGCTGAGAGGTAGCTTTGGTCTTGTCCTGAGTTATGAGTTGGATTAGCCAGTGAAATATCGTTTATGCATGCATAATGAAAGTGGCCTTATGGCCATAATTCCCCTCGAGAGCCAGAGTTAACTTTTACATTGTGATACCGGAGTGGAAAGTTTATCGGTATTTGTTATGTTTGCAGCTAATCTGTGGGTGGATCTGGGGATTTCATTTGGTTTATTTGTATAGATTTGCAGGTAGTTCACCTTTCGGGGGAGATTGTTATGAAATTTAGCTGACAGATGGTCCAGGGATTTATTTTTTAAATTGTATTATTATTTGCTGACTTTTAACTGGAATTTAACATTGCAATCGCACCCCTTGAAATTAAAGAGGGTTCTTTAAAATCCGCGAATGGAATTCTACTTCTTTTCGGCTCACATTTAATTTAATAAGTCTCCCCGACATTCAAGATATTCCCCCTTTCAGTCACCATCGAATAACATTAACCCACTGTGTCCGGCTGACTTTGAGGCCCCCAGTTAACCATCGCATTCAATTAGTAAACGAATACATGCTGGACCCACCTGGAATCGCTTGTCCGACGTGTAGGTGGCGGTGCCTACGGTCAGGATATGCAGATCACGTTTCCGTATCCAGGATACCTGTTGAGCAGATGGGCAGTTCGGGGAAAGGAAAAGGGAGAAAGAAAGAAATTTGATTAACGAGTACACATCCATATGATACACTCGATGTCCTTGGCACGCATCTTCATCACTTTCCTACCCCCAGGAGGAGGAGAAGAAGGACGAGTGGCTATTTCCACCGGGAACTCACCGATTTATCATGGAGACTGTCCACGCGGCATTTAATTATGGCCTCCGTGTGGCCAGTGCGTCCGGTGATGTTGCGCGGCATGCCAAAGTCGAAAATTGGCAGCAACTGCGAGGAGTCCTGCGAGTCCTGCGATTCCCCCTCCCTCTCCCGCTCCGTGTCCGTCTGGGCAAACAGATCGGAGCCAAAGGACGCGTCCAGGAAGGCTAAACTCTTGAAAGTGTGATTCGTGGCTTCCGTTTGCGGCCCGTTCGCCACCGCAAACGATGAAAAACTGTCTGAGGAAGGGGAAGGGAATGATGATGATGCCGCTGATGGCGACGGTGATGGTGACAGGAATGTCGACAGGGTTGGCCCATCACTGGAGTCTTCCGGTTGTCCAGTGGACGCTGCCGCCGCAGCGAGTCCTGCAAAAATACAAGGGAACAGGGTGAGCAGACGCCAAGGAAGCAGCAAAAGGATAAAATGCACAAAACAAAAAATATATTATTCTAGACACCTAGAGAATTTAATCTTAGCTTTTAATCATAAAAACATTTAATTTATGTTTTTATAAATGTTAAAATAAATATATTTCTTAGGATTAAATAATTTAAAAAGCTTATGAGGTCTTATTATTATTATAAAATGATATTTTTTTTTTTTTTTTTAACAAGGTTTTAACAAATTTACAATTTTAAGAAACTCAATATTTTTCATTGTTTTTTTATGTATTTATTTATAATTTAAATTAATGGATATTTTATAATACAACCATAACATCGCCTTAATAAATTCCTATTTATGTTTTCAAAAATGTATGTAAACTAAGTTTTCCTTGTGTAAGGCGTTTCCAGCCTTGCTTTTCGGTTGCGTCTCCTTGTTGGCCAAATGAATTTATAACTCGGTCGGCTTGCCCTACCCCCTCACCCCTTCCCTTTGGCCATTCATCTTGCTGGGTCTTTTGATTTGATTTGTAACCACTTTGGCCACAACTTTTTGCCTTCCCCCGCCGACGACCGCAAAGTAACTTCAATTCAATTCACTTTCATCCTTCCGCTTCGCCCGCAACTCGCACAATTTAAGCAAATAAATTCCGTTTTTGGCTTTAAGCTGCGGGGCCGCGCACAATTTGCATTTAATTTATTAGTGCTGCGCATTTTTATCCGCCACTGCATATGTGTGCACACAAAAATATTTTGCATATCAATTCGGCTTCCCATTTTTCGCGGCGACAATTTAAGCGAATCCGTTGAGCCAAAGTGACAAATTCAATTTGTGCGCAGCAAAACAATAAACGCTACAAAAATGGCAGAAATAATATGCAACAAGCTACAAATAAAGTCACAACGAAATATTAAGCATCCGCCATGTTGTCTCGACAGCAACGACGGCAAATATTTGCAAATATGCCAACTAAAAAAAAAGTGAAGCAGAAAAAAATTACTTTTAAATTCAAATCAACAGGGAATTTGTTGTGGACGACGACGAGGAGTGGGGGGAGGCGGGAAAATGCCCAGCTGAGAGCCGGGAAATTGGGGATATTGGATTGAGTTTGAAGTTGGCAATAAAGTTGGAAAAGAATTTTTCATGGCATCCTTGGGGGATTTTAGGCAAAAACAATTGGCGTGCACTTAATAACAGTTTTTTTCTACTACAAATTTAAAGATTACTAGCCATAAAAAAACCTTTAACAATAATTGAATTATTTAAAAATTTAAATATAAATGCGTTTTTATTTAAAAATAAATCAAAAAATTATTTTTAAAGGTTTGTTTATTTTTTTTAATTTTGTTTCAAGTGAATTCATTTGCTAGAGAATTTTCCCAACGTTCAATAAATTTTCTCTGACTGAAAAATATTCCTTTAAATTCTTTATCTATTTGAAAACCTTGGAATATATATTTTCTTCTACGCACACTGCCATAAATTTGGGAGCAGCATTTTCGCGCACAGCTCACACCAGCAGCTGCAGCTCCTTTAATCTTGTTTCTATTTTCACATAATTTTCAGTCAATTCCTGGGATTATCCAGCCTCGCCCTTCGTCCTGCGACCTTCGTTCTAGGGTATCCTGCTATCCTGGCATTCGTGGGCCGAACCGCCGAACCCATGTTTTATGCGTACACTCGAATGGAGAGCTCTGGCAAACAAACTTTTTATTTTGCTGCGACCTACTTAAAGGTCTCGCCCACTCCCCGTACTTTTTTGTTGCCCCCGGATGCCGACTGCGAGTCGTCTGGGTTCACCACATGAGGTCATGGAAATGCTTTCCGTTTGTTGTTCTTCTTTATGCGCTGCTGTAAAGTAAAGTAGCAAATTTGTATTTTATTGTTTGTCGCCAACAAGAAAGCGGGCAAAAAGCGAGGCGATAAAAAAACCTAAAAAATCTGCGTCTGCCAACGCTGCGAATGAGTGATGCTCCCTCGGCCGCGAATGGAATTTTTCCACCTAAATGCTCAAAGGAAAAGTCGGTGGTGAACGAAATGCCGTAGGGAAATTCTCGGGCAGTTCCCCCGCCAGCTGCAGTTGTAGTAGCAGCTGTGAAAGCGATTTTCCATCATCACCATCAATAACTTCATCATTGGCCTGCCATTTCCCATACCATTTCGATTCCCATTCCGATTCCAAAACCGCTTCAAAGTTTTTGGGCAGAAACGGCCACAAAAACTGCAAAACTTGCTAAACAAATTTAAGCAAATAAAAGACCAGTGAGCTCTGTTGTTTTGTGTGTTTTTCGGTTATTTTTTTGCACTAATCCGCAAAGCTTTTTCGAGTATTTCTTTTCGAGCCTATTTCTGGGTGGCAGTCCCCCGGCCAAAACCGAAAACTGATTTCGCAGTGCAGCCCATGGGCGGCTAAAAGTTGGTCGCCGCGTTTTGTGTTTTTGGCCAATGTTTGCTGTAGGTCGCGGCACGCCCCATTTTCGCCTCCGGGGCTCGCGGACCAGAACCGCCTCCTCCTCCTCCTGCCACTTTCCACTCTTCTTGCCAAAAACTCACATACACATCTGCCACAAGTGTTTCGGCAAAATATTCGTGCTGCGCCTGCAGCGATTCGTGTGCATTTGGCAAAGCACTTAAAATGACAAAAATAACAGCAAAATACTAGACAAGCGAGGAGCAAACAAAAGGAGCAGGAGAGAACAGGAGGAGGATCCTGCCAAACATTTGGATGTGCACTAGATGTTCCAGCAATCCTTTCCTCTGCGGAATATGGTTTTGGTTTGCTATTGTCAAGGACTCCGGAGATGCAGATTACGAGAAAAGGTTTTAATGGAGTCTGTTAACCCAATTAAAGCTATCATTTAACTTAGTCACGGCTGGTTAACCTTTAGTTGTTTTTCATTCAATTAACTCTGAGGTTTTTAGTTACAGGAATTAAATAAAATAAAAATACAAAGTCTTGGAAAAAAGAAAGATTAATTTTTTAGAGATGGCATGTTCCATTACAAAATGTTTACAAATTTAAAATGGATTTAATTACAAATCGTTTTAAAATATTTAATCAATTTAATGAAATAAAATAAAGATACAGAGACATGAAAAAAAATTAAAGAATAATTGTTGAAAGATAGAACATACTTACAAAATATGTATAAATTTGAAATGGATTTATTTACAATTCGTTTAAAAATATTTAATCCATTTAACATCTTTTTTCTGTAAATTGCTATTTTTCTGAATGTTTACATATTCATGATTTAATTTCTGTAATAAATAAGGATAATCCCCAAGATATATTATATTTCTTGCATTTTAAGCCCAAAGAATCCCCCCGATGAACCCTTTTTCAGAACACTATTTGTATCCCCCTGTTGACAGCATTCTGTTCTATTTAAAGAGTCGAGTGCCGGGACCGAACAAAAAATGTCGCCTAATGTCAAGTTTGGGCAAAAAGAGATGGCAGCTCCTCCAGGGTTCGAGATTCGAGGTGAGGGAGCGGAGGAAAAACAAGAAAATAAATTGAAATGGCAGGCAATTGAAAACTACCCATGGATTTGTCAGAGACTCTGTCTGGCTTAGCGCCGCATAAGCATATACATATAATACAATTTTCATTTTCGGATATGAATAAACACAGAAATGGGAGTGACAGAGGGAGAATGGAAATTTTCCTTTAAGACGGCGCAAATGTCACGGGAGACATGGAGAGGGTTCAATAAACGCTGGCTGGGATTCATCTGCTGCCTGCACAGAAATCTGATTATTTATGAAGTGCCTCAGCTCGAAGCTCTCCGAACTCGGCGTTCGGTCCCCATGGAGTGGCAAGTGTCTATAAAAATAGCAAAACACCAGACGAATGATAATGAGTCCGGGACTCGGGACTCGCACGTTCCGCAGGATTCACGTGGCAGGACCTCGAATCCTGTCCGCTCATTGTCATCGTTAACACTCGTGTAATGTCGGCCATAAAGACCCCCCTCTCCGGCTCCTTTTGCCCTCTGCAATTAAAGGCGTGTTCATGGGGAAATGGAAGGAGAGGCGGCGGGTTTTCCTAGAGATTTACATAATGCCGAACAATATGGCCGAGGATGGCAACTATTTTTACATGCCCATAATTTGATGACGACAATGTCTTGGCATAACAATGAGATGCGACTCCAGGCTCCATGTGGGCCTCATGTAAATTTCATTTTGCTGACTTTAAGGATCTCCCGGCTCAGCAACGCTTTTCACACACTTTCACACACGTGTTTGGGGGTTTTTCAATGCCCAGATTTCGTTTTTCTTTTCTTTTTTTGATTTTTTCTGATTTCCTCTGATTTTGTTCTTTATTTTTTCTCATGCCAGCCAGCGGATTTGTTTCGTGTGTGAAATCGAGCGTGAATGTTCAACGTAAATAAAATTCAATTTGGCATTTTCCTTTTAACTCAATTTATGTGTCAAGTGAAAGTGGATTTGACTCGGACAAACATTGTGTGGCCATTTGGCATGTCCCGTATCAAAGTTATAAATGAATTTATAGCCAGATCTCTCTTTCTCTCTCTTTTACTCTATATAAACCCCACAAAATTAATAGCATTTGTGCCGGCGAATTGATTGAATAAACCCAACCAACCCTACGCAACCAAAAATTATTTTTCAGCCAAAGGGTTTGAGTGGTTGAGTCTATTGAAATGTCATTTAATTGATGCAATTTAACGGTTACATTTCACCAAAAAAAAAACGAAAAAAATAGTCGATTAACTCGCCACTCAGGTGAACATATTTAATGCATTTACTCGGGGCCACCAGGTGAGAAGATTAAATGCTGTTAATAACTTGGGCTTGCGTTTGAAATGTTTTTCATGCAGCTTAACACATGAACGCACAAATGCGTATTGTGTGTCAATTATGTGGAGAAGCCGGAAAGTCTATTAAAAGTCATTTAATTGGGGAAATATCGTGG